GAAATAAACTTTGCTTTTACTTATTCCTTCTTTAAATATTAGAAATAAACCATTTAAAAGACAAAATAACACATTTATCTCACCATGATCTACACATACAATGTTCATTTTCCTGAGGACATAAGCAAAGTGCCTGGTACACATTGTGTTCCATTGTATCTGCACAGAGTACACCTGAGTCTACTTCCTTGTTTTCATAGTATTGTCTTCCTTTTGGTTCCACCACTTTACTTAACATTAGGTCTTCTGGCGAGGTAATCCATTTGTTTGTCCCTTGCTGGTCTGACTCATCTGGGAAACAATCTGGACCATATTGGTATTCAGTTTGATATTCTTGGTTGCCATCAAAGGATACTTCTCTGTTGTCTAATATATTAATGTCATGGAGTTCAGTCTGTACATCACTCAATTTGTCCAAGAAGTAACCGTCTGCACTTCCATCTTTGTACTCTATAGTACTGGGCATCCTTTGAAGGAAAGGTAACTGATGGACAGCTCTACTAAAACTCTCTGGGAGCCAAGAAGATATGTGGTTGTCATAATATATAAATCCGGTTTGTATACATCTTTCATATTCCTGGTCCCTTTCAGAATCCTGCTGTAAGGACTGGGACCTTGGGCAGCATAGGCCATATGAAGAAGCAATAATGTCATCTTCAGCTATAATGTCATCAAAAAGACTTTCAACTGTGCCAACCTCATCGGAGACATACGCTAAAGTGTCCATGGTTACACCTACTTTAGAAATTGCATCTGGAACCAAGTACGCTTCTGCCACACCAAGGAAGGTACTGTCACCAAGGCACACTTCAGGGAGCTTGGAGAGGTTGGTGGAGAGATGAAATACACTTGGCAGCACTCTACCTTTCCTAATATCTGTGGGTGACTCACTTCTGTTTTGAGATTCTGTAGAATCCATATTTTTATTTCTTGTTTTTTCTACTATAGCTTCCTGTGAGAAAATCGAAGTTGCAAGTTGATGTGTGGCAGCTTCTATGATGGCGAATTTCCTGTTGTGACAATTAGGAGAGAAATAAAATGATACATAGATTTTTATAAAATTATAATTATAATACCTAATGCTTGCATTACTTTTTACATATGTTATTGTTCTATATTATTTTTCCAGCATGGTCTGTTTGTTATTGGCAACATATATAATGGTAGGATTCTTTCTTCACGTTATCACACTTTAAGGCAATTAAAGAAGAACTGAAGCCAAATCTTTTTTAGTTAGTAAGGGAGGGTTATAATCCCTCTCAGCATTTTTTAGCTATCTGAGTAGATAGGGGATATTTCCTTTCACTTCCTGTCGGATAGCCACAACAAAAAGTGAGAGGAAATCACTCCAAAGAGAAGGAAATCCCTGGTGGCCAGCAGAGTCATCAGAACCAATGTCCCCATTGGAAGATCTATATATTTATTTTCTGATGACAACATCTTGGATTTTTTTTTTTACTTTCAGTGATAACGGTCACCAGGACAAAAAGAGAGGGTGAATCTCCCTAACGGGGACACAGGCAGAAATGCAAACCTGACAGATGTTCCAATCCTTCTTCATTCAAAATTAAGAAAAATTGTCCAGTTGGTGAAGAGATGAATTGTGATAGGCATTCAAAGGTTATTGAATTTTACCTCACTGAATATTCCTTTTAATACTAGTAATTCTTAGATTATCAGTGTTATTCACAAAAGGGTGAAGAGTTTGGAGAAGGCAGGAGAAGTGAACAATCTAGGACAACATAGCTAATTTGGGAAAATTCTCCAATTCAGCTCACTTTCCAGTTCAGCTATGTTGTCCTAGATTGTTCACTTCTCCTGCCTTCTCCAAACTCTTCACTCTTTTGTGAATAACCCTGTATATTGTTTTCTAGTAAAAGGCTCAATTAACAAAGTTTAAAGGATGAGGATTTTTTATTTTATCCATATGACTGTACTATTTAATTTGAAATTAAACTATCGACTTTGCAAACAGTGTGCTAGCTTTGTGAATGGAAATGTTTCCAAAATGTCTGATTGTTATAGGAACCAATAAAGACTGGTGGAGAAAAAAAGAAATACAATTCTTAGGAAACAGGTATTGTAACGATATTCTTACTGACCGGCATATCTGGTTTTGCAGGAATCTGCGGTGATTTACTTTCCTTTTAGTGGGTCGACTCTTTTTTGGCCTCTGTAGCGTGCGCATAATGTGGGAAGAAGCTACTGTAACAAATGTATAGAGATCACGGCCACATTCATAGTATCCAAGTTCTGGGCGCGGGTAAAGGTTGAGTGCAAATTGTGCACTTCTGTGATGCATAGTGATAAAAGTCTTTATAAGGAAGCTGTAAATAGAAAATAGAACATATAGTAGTGGTACTCGTATAACTTATATACACACACACACACACAAATATATGCATTACGTTCATGTCTGCAACAAAACCTCTGTGTGTAACACAAATCACTAAAAACATTGTAGAATTTGTTTTTTTCTGATTAGCTGGGCCATTTTTGTATGGTATTATTCAGTGAAATTACCCACCTTACTAGTTATCTGATTATAAAGTGATTAGAGTGGTTGCCATTTGTGTTCTGAATTTTTAGCATTTTTATTCAACATATTGTTTTGCTAAACATGACTGTGCAAATATCAGGTGACTTGCAATAATACAGACTTTTAATGCAATAACTCCTATACTCTCAAAAAATAAACAGTATTGTGAGGGTTTTCCCAAATTTCTGTGCATACATAAAATAAAAATTGGTTAGTCCATGTGAAGTGCAACATATGAGGCAGTGGTGAGCAGCAAAGGAGTTAAACTAAATAAACCAGTCTTTCAGAGCTGCAGTCTGTGCCCACCAGTGACCTGTCCCCTTGTCACAACTGCATCAGGCTTCTGCGCTCTCTTGGAGCCTGAGAGGACCCAACCACTGACCTGTCCACTTGCCGCAATGTCATCAGGCTTCTGCAGTCTTTTGGAGCCTGAGAGGACCCCACCACTGGACAGCCAATGGTAACTGTCCACGTCACCCAGACAGCTACATGGTCACCTAACAAGGGCCCCTTCACTCTGCTTTGAGTAAGAGAGAAGACTCAGGACCTGACACATCACATGGCCACTGATTCAGATATATAGTTAGGGCTTTTGGATACATTTTTTTATTACTGCAGGGGGGATTTTTGTTGGGAGGGGGAGGCTCTAGTCTGAATAGAACTGATCTTTGAAGTGAATTTTTACATTTGTAGCCAAATTGGGATAACACTGACTTTATCTTTGTTACATGTTCCCATCCTCATACCATAATTTTAAAATACAAAACTATAAAAATGTGCTGCTTACATTTTTAAGTGCTATTTTCTGAAGACTCCAGGACTGAAAACTCTTAGTGGGTTCTCCCTTGCTTTGTAATCTTTATGAGAGGGCTGCAGAGTTGTGTTTGCCATAATTCAACCTGTCTGTACAGTGCTGGCAGATTTCATTACCACTTGTTAATTAGATGTACAGTACTGTAGTTTCCTAACAAAACATTGAAGGTCAAGACTTGAATGGTTCATTTTATGTCTCTCAGTCTTGTCCCTCCAATCTGCTCCTTATCTCCACAAAGCAATAGAAGCTGTCCATAGTGTGCTATGTATAATCCTGCTTCAAACAAACCACTAAAAAGTAAGACGTGTTTTTAAATATTTTTTGTGATGCTGTGTGATCTTAATACTGGCAAGGTGTATGGGCCATAGAACCGCACCCACAGGACGTAACAGTAACTATATATTAGGACAGCTGTCCCAGGAATATAAAAGCTGGGGCGTTTTTTGACTGGTACAATGAAATAGTCAACTTCAACATCCATAAAAAGTTTTACATGTTTATTACAAATACATTAAAAAAGCATCTTATAAAAATGCCATAAAATCTGTATATAAGCATAAGAGAACCATTCAAGGGACCGATAGACTGTTACAGATATTTCTGAGCAAAACTTATCAGAATTGAAGTATTTCAAAGGTCACAATTGTGTTCAATAGTTCATAGAAATATCCAAGCTAATGGTGAGTCCATACAGGTCCAATTTCTCAGCACATTTCACACTATGCTTTTCCAGGAGGTAGGTTCACTATATTATACAGTATTATAAGGTAGGTATTAAAGACCAATCAAATGAAAATATATTTATTTATATCTACATCAATTACAATTTTTTTAGGCATACTTGTTTCTTGCTCAGCTTACATATCCCAGTACAAAGGCATGGATCAACTACGGATAAAAAGACCCAGTTACCTTGGGTGGGGACTCTAGAGGGGCAAGGTCTCGGAGCCAGGACTGGCTATGCTGTGTGAATGGGAATACATAACAAACATAAAGGAGGGTTCTCAAATTTGACTGGAAACATTAAAATACATCTACCAACATTAAAGTGAACCTGTTCTTTGCCCAGTGCTTCACAATGTAAAAAGAATTGTAGAGAAATGAAAGATTAAACAGACGTGATGCTGAAAGCAGCGGGCTCTTATTGCTCTTTAGCTGAAGGCAATGGGCATGTAATCAGAGCAGATATTCGTTCTCTATATCTCTCCCTCTGTGCAAGATATTTGTCAAATTTATCACACAGTAATATGACATAAGGCACCGAGCACAAAATCTAAAGCTTGCTGCAGTAAAAATGCCAACAGCTTTTAATCTAAAGAATTGCTTTGTTTACTCAATTTAGTTCTAAATGAAAGCTTTGGAATAATTTCGGAAAATCAAGCGTGAAATATAACTGTATTAAAGCATTGCCGCAATGAAATCTTAATATACTATTCATATACTATTCATATAGTATCGCTGTAAGCAATGTTAATTTATATTAATAGTTCTTTTATATGTTATTAGTTTTATTAAAAGGAATCTATAATCTTTTTGATGTGTTTTGAAAACGTGTAGAGGAGATGAGCTTGATGTAACTAATCTTATCAGTATGTTTAATGGTTTTAAAAAGATTAGTTCAATGTATAATTTGTAATTATCTGTGAACATGGGGGTAGCCATATTTACTCGGTTTACATTCAGGCTGTACAGCTAGCTAGCTAGATAAAGAAGCCAATTTCCAAACTCCCAAACCTTGAAAATGTAGGACTGTGCCTGAAAATCAGGAGTACTTGGCAGCTTTGTGAAATGTATGGATATGTTACAGCAGTAACTCATGAGTCCAGAGTCTCTCATAGGCCAGATGGTATATTTAAACAGACCCCGCAAGTAACATCATATAGTGAAACTAGGACTAGCTGGCAGTTGTTGTGCTAAAATGTTGCTGTATTACAGCACGTGGCATGGGATCAGGTATTTGACACACCTGGAAGTGTTAGATACTAGCTGCAGAAGGGGATCTGCAACACAGCAATGCTTTAGGATACCATCCGTTGGCGTTAGGAAGCTTGGTTACTTACCTCAGCTCCTTCAGATCCCTGTGGAGTCTCCATTTTTCCTAGTTGTTATTTATCCCGTTGTCATCTGGACCAGTCACCCAACGTTTTCCAGACCTCACCCTAAAAATTGGGGCTTTGCATGAGGGAAACATTTTCTTGTATATCATATTTTGCCTGGCCTACCCCCTTGGTCCTGGGCTATCCTTGGTTCCAATATAATAATCCTCGCATTGACTGGTCTCTTGGAGAAATCTCTTTGTGGCCCAAGTTCTGCTTCAAACCCTGCTTGCAGCAGCACACCCTTATCTCTCCCATGAGTACCACTACTATTTTGCATGATATTCCGATTATGCAGATATCTTCAGTCAGAAAGCCACCACCAAAAAGAGAGACACTGCGTCCTGTTGCCAGCCACTGAGAGGAGAAACGGTGACAATGCAGAGAGCCAGAAGAAGACAGCGGGGTCCTCCAACAGATGGAAAGGTAAGTATTTACCGTCTGTTTTCAAGGGGATTTGTCACCAAGGTAGGAACAATTAAATAAAGCAGCATGTGTCTGATCAAGGGCATTTGTCACCAAGGTAGGTACAATTAAATAAAGCAGCGTGTGTCTGTCAGCACCTAATTTAGTATTCACTCAGCACGTGGTCCACTTTCATTATTAGCAGTATAGAGTTTTGTCTCTAGCAGAGGTGGGGAATTAAATGGCACAGAAACTTATCATTTTCTAGTGCTGATTGACAATTATTAAAAAAAAAAAAAAAAAATCTTGGGGGTTTTACTTTTTTTCCTTGGTCT